AGAAGACTCTCTAAAACTGACCAAAAACATGAACTTACTATTCGATTCGGCAATTGTGAGGTGAGAACCACAACTCAAATGTCTTCTGTAGCAAATTTATATCAGTACTTTCTTTTAAATATAATTTCTTTTAATCGTAATTGCATTGGTCAGTAGAAAATTACGGATCCGTTCTGACCTCACTAGTAATATACGTCACAAAAATAGCCAATATTATAAGTTTTATATATCCAAGTGTTGAGCGTTTTGTGTACCAGTGTATTTTGCTTTGAACGTCTCTCATGTAAATAAATGCTTCCAGATGTTCCAAATAAATGTTTTCTTTATTCCCAAGATTCCTGAACGTCCTGACAAGTGAAAGAAGTTGTGTCAGAAAATACGAAAATCTTCAACTAGTAACACGTTAATCCGTTTTCATCCCTTTTTTGGCCAATGCAAAAGAATTGTATTGGAGTTAGCTATTCAATGATTTTCAACAAGCATTCAGTGCACTTCAATTGTAAAACTATTTGACTAAAGACTAGCGATACGGTCTGACAGAGGCTAACATTCTTAAGAGCCAAACGTATTTACTTTGAAATCGATATGTGTTGTGGAATCCAGAGAAACGATATATCTTTCTAGACGGCGAACAAATATTTAAGTAGAAAATATTGCTTGAAAACTTTTGGTCATCCATTTATTATATACACCGTACGACTTTTAGTGGGTATTAGTGTAACAATTTTTACTGACATCAGTTTCCAATCAACTGAAAAAATATTGTTCTGAAGCTATTTTCTTGTGGCAATGTAAATTAATTACTATTAAACTGGGAATAAGCCACAATTAAAGATAAAAATACGTTTATTGACGTTTCAATTTCCACTTCGGAAATCGTTCTCAAAATACAAACAGTAAATTAAACAAATTTTGTTTTTTGTTACATAGTGAAAAATTCTTCTAATAATTTAATTTTATCTGACCCATTTATATTGACAATTCAGACATACATTATGCATTTTAAAGTAGACGACTTTAAAATGATATTGCCAATATTGTTGAGTTGCGCTCCTGGGACGACTTTACTTATAACATAGTTCATTCGATTACATGAAATCAACTTTAACTTGAGAATATCCGTCAGAAAAAAATCATAGCATGTAATTCGTCTTTAAAAAGACAAACACATGACATGATGACAGTAAAATTCTCCTGTTAGCGATTCCATAGTAAATTATGAGGGAAAAACCAGGAAAAAAACCTCATAATACTATCCCGACATTGTAAGTATTTGTTCGTGAATTTAGTTTACCTTCAACAAACATCGAAATTCTGATTTTATATGTTATGTTATTTAAAAAACATAAATGATTTATCCTCTATATGTTACTGACTTACTAATACTGGTATTTTCTTATTAATATTTTTCTTATTAAAAGAGGAAGTTATTAAGTAAACTCTCTCCCAGGAGCGCAACTCAACAATATTGGCAATATCATTTTAAAGTAGTCTACTTTAAAATGCATAATGTATGTCTGAATTGTCAATATAAATGAGTCAGATAAAATTAATTTATTAGAAGAATTTTTCAGTATGTAACAAAAAACAAAATTTGTTTAATTTACTGTTTTTATTTTGAGAACGATTTCCGAAGTGGAAATTGAAACGTCAATAAACGTATTTTTATCTTTAATTGTGGCTTATTCCCAGTTTAATAGTAATTAATAAGTGAGATAGGTCTATATGAGTGAACGGAATTAGGATCTTTCCCTTGTTTGAGTATGGGGATAATGATTACATCTTAAAATTGAGCTATTACTGAATTATTCATGATTATATCATTATATATTTCCAATAGTAAAGTTTTGGCACTTTTGGGAAGATATAATAACATTAGATATTAATATTATCTAAACCTGGACTAGTACTATTTCGATTTTTTAAGGCAAATTCCAATTTTAAAGTATTAAAAGATACTAACAAAATATAATTTGATACAATTGTGCCAGACGGAAGAATTTGTAATAGCTAATACACTTTTTAAGCTACCAAAAAGAAGATTGTATACATGGAAATCTCCCGGTGATACAACGAATAGAATAATCCGAAATCAAATTGACTTTGTCCTTATTAGACAAAGATTTCGTAATTCTATACTGTCTGTCAAAACTTACCCTGGAGCAGACATCGGTTCAGACCATAACCCCATAGTAGTCACATTACGAACCAAATTAAAACAGGTTTAAAAAACCCACACAAAGTAGAATTGATATTAAGAGGGAACCACAAACAAAGGAACAAACTGTAAAAACTCTTACTGAAAATCTACGTAATGCCCAAGAACTGAATAAAAGTAGCTATAACATTGATCAGAAATGGGAAAATATAAAAGTAGCAATAATTAAAACAGCAAATGAAAACTTAAAACCAAAGAATAGAAAACATAAAGGTTGGATGACTGAAGAAATACTACTATTAATGAATGAAAGAAAATCATTCAAAACAAAAAATCCAATTAAATATAATGAAACTGATCGATTAATAAAAAAGAGAATAAAAGAAGCTAAGGAGAGAATGTTACATGAGCAGTGCCAAGAACTAGAAGAAATTGAGAAAAAATATGTCTTTTTTAACATGCATAAAAGAATTAGAGAATTAACAGGAATGAGAAAAACACTTCAAAGTAGGCAACTAAGAGATGAAAGGGGTGCACTTATAACAGATATAAACCAAAAAATGCAGGGATGGACACAATATATAGCACAACTTTTTGAAGACAAAGAGAGAACAGAAGCACCAGAAGAATTTAAGGATGATACTGGGCCTGACATTATACGAGAAGAAATTGAATATGCAATGAAATAAGCTAAAGGTGGTAAATCTCCCGGGCCTGATGAAGTTTCTATCGAATTACTTAAAATTGTGAGTACTCAATCTATTGATCTTCTTTTGGATCTATTCAATACCATATATAGAATAGGTATAATACCTAAAGAACGGCTCCAATCAACATTCATACTGCTTCCCAAAAAAGCCAATGCAAAGGAGTGCAATGAACATCCCACCACAGCCTTAATGAGTCATATCTTGAAATTGTTTTTAAAAGTAATTCACAATAGAATACATAAGAAATTAGATAAAGGTATAAGTAATACACAAATGGGATTTAGGAAAGGACTGGGAACATGAGATGCATTGTTTGCATTAAGTGTTCTTTCGCAGAGATGCTTAGATAATAATCAGGAAGTATATGCCTGTTTTATTGATTTTGAGAAGGCATTTGACAGAGTGAAGCATAATCGACTTAAAGAAATTTTATTAAATAAAAACATAGACAGTAGAGACATCAGAATCATCTCTAACCTCTATTGGAATCAAACAGCAAAAGTGAAAGTTGAAAACGAACTGACCAAGGATATCCAGATTCGCCGTGGGGTCCGCCAAGGGTGTATTTTATCACCCTTGTTATTCAATTTATACAGTGAAGCCATTTTAGAATTAGCGCTTGCCGAGATCAGTGAGGGTCTTATAATAAACGGTGAGCCACTTAATAACATAAGATATGCTGACGACACCGTCCTTCTGGCAGGAACACTAGAAGAACTGCAACACCTTGCTGAACAACTAAATATATATTGCAACGATTATGGACTAAAAATCAATTTGAAGAAAACCAAGTTCATGGTATTTACAAAAGCACAAAACATCAAAGTTAAGCTAGTACTAGATAATACAGAAATTGAACAAATATCTTCGTACAAATACCTTGGAGCATGGATCACAGAAGGTACTGATCAGACAAAAGAAATAAGATGCCGCATTGAAATTGCGCGGTCAACTTTTTTGTAATCGCCATATCAATATATCGTTCCGGATAAGAATGCTTCGATGTTATATTTTCTCTACCCTTTTGTATGGAGTTGAAGCTTGGACACTTAAAAAATCCAACATTAAAAACCTAGAAGCATTCGAAATGTGGTGTTACCGACGTATTTTGAAAATATCATGGATGGATCGCAAAACAAACGAACAAGTTCTCGAACAACTAGGAAAACAATGCGAAGTTTTAAATTCCATAAAAATCAGGGAATTGGAATACTTGGGGCACATAATGAGAGGTGAAAAGTACGAACTACTAAGGAATATAATGCAGGGTAAAATCAAAGGTAGAAGAAGCGTAGGAAGACGTAAAATCTCGTGGCTACGCAATCTCCGTGAATGGTTTGGATGCAGTTCAACTGAACTATTCAGGCGAGTAACCAATAAAATTATAATTGCCAGAATGATTTCCAATCTCCGATAGGAGTGGAACTTGAAGAAGAAGAAGAACAAAACATGATATTGCTTATTGAAAGAATCAAAAAGTCAAAAGTTTTGCTATTTTTTACAGACGGTGGAGCAACTTGATCAACAAATTGTTCTAAGGAATCGTCAACACATTTTTTAGATATTATATGTTAAAACATATAATATCTTAGACTAAAATAAATAATAATCGTAAGGAAAGTCATTATTATTTTAAATGCGCAGATATAATATTATTAAAATTTATAAACTAATAAATAATATATGTGTATTAGATTACATAACACTACTATCCATAAGAATATTATGTAAGAGATTCTCCCGCCAAAACGGATACTGATATAGTTCTCAAGTTTAATACCAAGAATAGAACAAGGTTACTGAACAAAACGATACCGCAACAACAACACGCTGCATCACTTTCTCTGGGTATTGCCCCTCTTACCTAACTATTACTTAACTGGAGAATCCAAAACCAAAAATTGCACACAAAATCAAACCCCTCTAATATCTATATATAAAACTCGAACGTCAAGACACCGAATTAATGTTACTGGAGTACTCGGGAGCACCTAATTTGGGATCTCTTGGTAGACAGTACCGTTAGTTGTACCCGTTCGCGAATTCTTGAATCGACACGCGTCTTCGGAAACTCTCTTTAGAAATAAACACATTTTGGGTGTTAATTGGTGGTTCTATTAGTACTTTCAGTGATGTTTGAAGTGTCTAAATGGGTATTTTTACTATCATATATGTCGCTAGTGGCGCTACAGTCGATCGGTCAAGACGGCAATTTCCGACCTCAAGAAGTTATCGATAATGGACCCCAAGGTGAGTGAACTTGAACAGTGGCGTTACGTTTCTTTAATAAATTTATATAAGCCTCGCTTAATTATGTGATTCTCTGATAAATTAAATTAAATTTCTCAGGGTTCTTTGCTACAGACATAAATATTTTTTCTTCAATTCTTGGCTTCTTGTATTTTCTGGATGCTGACTTTCTTTAGAGTGACAAGTAGAATCAATATGATATACACAATTTATAACTTAAAAAAAAAAACATCATTTATTTTAATACCATATAGAAATATAAAAATAAAGATCTTCAATTTATTATCTATTTCTCAGAACAAAAGAAAACATTATATTTTGTTACACATATTATAGGTAGTCATTCCTGTCTACTGTCTGATGTTCTTCAACCACGATGTCCTTCTGCACCCTTGAGATCTTTTGCCTTCTACCTTGCCTTGTAAAATTGGTTGATACTTCTCATTGCGCATCACATGCCCTAAGTATGCCATATTTCTAATTTTCATGATACGCATAATTTCCAAATCTTTATTCTTATGTTGGATCACGGTGTTGTTTGTAACATGATGGATATAGGAAATTCTGAGCATGCGGCGGTAGCACCACATTTCGAAGGCTTCTTATCGTTTGAATGTTGCCTCCGTTAAGGTCCGGGCTTCGACTCCATATAAAAGGGTAGAACATACATAGCATCTCAAGACTCGTGTTCTTATATCAATGTTCAGGTGCAAATTACATAAAATCTTCCTAAGGCGATTGAAGACAGCTCTTGCCTTTTCTATACGACATCTTATTTCCTGTGAGTGGTCCCGTTCCTTATTTAGGCTGCATCCAAGATATGTAACTTTGTCGACTATTTTTAAGGATTCAATATTAGCTGTGCAATCAAATCATGCTGTCAAATCAAATCAACAGCAATCAAAACCGTATCGTCCGCATATCTTAAATTGTTTATAATTTCACCATTAATTTTTATACCTTGTCTTAAACCATCAATAGCTTCCCTGAACAGCATTTCCGAGTAAGTATTGAACAAGGTCGGTGACAAAATGCAGCCCTGACGTACTCCCCGTTTTATCGTGAATTCTTGTGAGGTTTCGTTGTCTACTCGTACAGTTGCCCTTTGCTGTAAGTATACATTTTTAATTAGGCGTAATTATTTGTCATCAGTACTAGATTCTTTCAGTATCTGACATAATTTTTGATGTTGCACCTTGTCAAATGCTTTTTCAAAGTCTATAAAGCATTTACGTCTCGAATTCTTTGTATTAATACTTGTATGAAAATAGTTTTCATATTTCAGATTGTATGTTACTAGGTCCACATGCTTTGTGGGTTTTTAGTCTTTTTATTGCATATGTTACTTCACTGAGCGTTATTTCTGGTCCTGAACATCCAGAAACACTGACTTTTGTCTCTTGCACTTGAATAATTTTTCCATGTATTACCTCCATCTCTCAAGTATTCTCTCATTTTGGTAGAGCAGATTGTTGCGCTTGTCTAGTATTAAGTTATGACTTAGTGATCCGTTTTGTCAAGTTCAGTTTTTGATCTTTTTATGTAGGTTAAAAGTGTTATGCTTCTGTTCTAGGGATTCCATTTTTACGCAATAATCTTGTAGCCATGATTATTTTGCTTCTTTAATCTTTTTCTTAATGATTTTGTTTATTTTTTGTATCTTTCCTCATTCTCATTTCTTCGTTCTTTCATTAGCTCTAATATTTCTTTTTTCATCCACAGCTGTTTCTTTATATTGATTTCTGGTTTAAGTTTATTATCTACCACTGAATTACAGATATATTTAATTTTATTTCACATATCATCCATACTTATGTTTTCATGATTAATAGCTGAGATTACCATCCTGTTTATCTTGTTGTTGATCTTCTATTTGACTTCGTATCTTATGGTTTGGTCTTTCAAGTTCTGGACGTTTTTCTGCTTTTATTTTATGGACATGTTTCATGTGGAGTTTAAAACGACCAAAATTTTATTAAGTGCCAATTACCTGATTTGTAAATTTAATTCTTCTTAATCAATTACTTTATGACATAGGTTTAAAATACATATATGGTACAAATACAACGCTCATTTCACAAATAATTTGACTGACCTTTTTAATTTACTCTCTGCGATGTTTTCCGATGGCCACTGATTTAGTCTACGAATTGTGTCACCGCAAAACTGTCCAATTTTCCAAACACGTATGACTCTGCTTAGGCCTTCTAAAACTGGTACACAAAACAGCACTTTTTCAGTCAAATAGTTTTCCCGCATCGACTGGTTATCTCGTACAAACCTTATATAAATTTTCTTTTTTGACGTACAGAGTTAGGCGTCTCATCAGACACAAGGAGTTTAAGATTCTCGAAAATTCGCCTTCAACTATCCTGCTATCATCAATTAAACTCACATACAACAACTTTTTCACACACTGTTCTCAAACTGGACTTCTCGTTCTGTTATCAGTTATAAGTAGAGACTGGATTATATGCTCTAAAAAATGGTTAAAATATGCATGCAACATGCACTTAAAAAGTATCCAAATATGCCTTTATTATATGCATTAATAGATGCACTTTAAAAAAATATTTTTTAATTTTTAGGGCTTGAGATTTGGTGAGAAATAAAATTATGGTATAACTTTAGAGAGTGTTTATTTATTACTATATTTAATAAAAAAAAATATTAATGAAAATTCACAAGAAAATATCCTCGTTCTTGCTGTTACTAGTATATAATCATATAATGTTCAATATTTTCAAGAGTAATGCTAAATGCCTTCTATCAGTTAATATGTGTTTATATGAGGAAAATAATCTTTCAACATCACAGGATGTAATTGGCGCAAATCTAAAATTTGACACTAGCGAGGGATCCATATTAATAACTTCGTTAAAGCTTCCATTGAATATGTTATTTATTGATCGCAATAAAGCAAAGCCTTCATTCCGGTTTAAAACTTTACTAAACTTATCTTTCATTTTTTCCCAATTGTTCCCCAAAGGTTTACCAGGTATTGTTTCTTTGACAAAATCAACAATACAAATACTATCATTTAAAGATAGTTTTTTGACTCTCTAGTTTTGTAATAGAGTTTACAATTATGTCAAAATTTGCTTTTATATAGGACAGTTGTTAGTATTTAGTAGTTAGTATTTTTAAACATTTTACGATGATTAAATACGACTTGTTGGAGTCATCAGCTGAACTGTTTAAAACTCCAATAATTAAACTCGAGATTTGCCGACCGTTGGCGTCAGTAGTCTTGTCGACAGATATCCACAGATATTCATTTCTTACCCAGCTTTTAATACCTTCAATAACGTCTTTGTAAGATGCCCTCACATATTGCTTGCGAAGAGTTGAAGAACTGTACCTGTACTGACTTATTTTCAACTTTACAATATGTTTTCAAAAATTTTTGACATATCTTGCTATCCAATTTATACAGTGGGATATTGCAACTTACAAAAAAATTGCATACATCTTTTGCAAACATTTCTTGCTCCGTCGATGTCTAACGATTTTGAATAATGTTGTTCTGCAGAAGCTGCTGGCGTGGTTTCTTGAAGTCCTTAGGTGTCGGGAAATTTGGAATTTTTTTTCAGATGGAATCTGTAATAAAGCGATTTAGTAAATAGGAGTCTAATGCAATAATATGGACTTCAAATTTTTAAGATAACTTATATTGTTTTTCTGGCAACTAAAACTACCGCCAATAGTCAAACTGTTACATGTTTAGTATAGGTATACCGATTTTCTTACAAAAATGAGATTTTAAATTAAATTTTTGAATCGATAAAATATAAGTGGGCTCACCTTTTTATCACAAATAGTACAGAAAACACGTTCATTGTCTATAATCTTTATTTCACTGTTGTCACCAACCCAACTCCGCAATAGACTTGATTTTTTATTTTATAAGCATAATATTCACAATCACAAGTTACTTTGCAAGCTGGTAAAGAGAATTTAAAAACAAATTTACTGTATAATACCTACCTGCATATTGGCCCTATTCTTCTGATAAATAATTTCTAGATGGGTTTTTCCAAACAATAAAATTTGTAGATTTAGTAGATATTTGTAATAAAATTATTTCGTAGTTACCTTACCTAGTACCTGCTATGAATAATTCCAAGCAAATATTATCTAAGAATAGTAAACGTATAGAAAACCAATTTATTTATGTAATATTTTTAAATATGTGGCAATATGCTCTTAATCAAGTAAATATGAATAGTATATGCATTTATAAAGGAACCCACAAATATGCTGCATATATGTGCATATGTATTTTGCATATAATCCAGTCTCTAGTTATAAGGTAACGATTGTTAATCGCACATGATTTTATATAGATTTGCTACTCTTTTTCGTAATAGTTTGCTCGTTAATGAGCATTGGGGCATATGATGTAGGTATTCTTTGGCGCTATTCATCCATATTTTCAGTCATTTGAATGCAATCTCAGCTGTGCCTGCAATTTGTGATATTTAATCAACATAGCGTGTGTGGTCTTTTTTCTTATACTTTTCGCTACACTATCAGCTTCCACCAACTATCAGCTATACAGTGATGTTGAGTTCGACAATAATTGAGATATTGATTTCAATTTTTCAACAACCAAGAAAAGAAAAAAAATTGAAATTTTTAAAACTTGATTACTTCTCTATTAAATAACACCTATTTTTTTTGATAATACTATTAATAAACTTTGGAACACCAATGGGAACAAAAATCAGCCCCATTCTGGCTGCATATGTAATGAAGGGCATTTTAGACACTATCATCCCAGTTTTGACATTCAACTAAAAAGAAACTACACAACTATTTAGGGAAACAGATTTCTGACTTAGATAATGACTCATCTGCAGACAATTGTTTAGTATCATCTAACTCCGAATCTCTTAACAACATTCAACACGATACTTTAATGAAACATTGATGGATTTTCCATCGTCTCCCTATGCTACAGCTTTTTTTATCTGTTGCTAAAATACCAGTTTTCTCAA